TTCTGTTGTATGCCCATATATAGTCATGATGTGCCCATATATAGTCATGATGTGATGTCATCATGACCATATTTAAGCATGTCACATGTTTTTTACAATAAATTTGCTTTCAGAATAACATGAGAGGAGGTTCTGAAAACTTGAATGAAGACACGCTTGGGAGTCAGCTAAAGGCTGGTGTCGCTCAGATCATTGCTCTCGAGTTCACACGCACCAATCATCGTGATAACAGGACTGTGAATCGTTATCTGCCGTGGCTGTACCACCCGCCCTCTACCATGCAACAAGGGTAGGCTAAAATATCTACTAAGACATATTAATCATCTGAATATTCATCATGATTACAAACATAATCATCATCATCATCATCTCCACCAGACATAATCATCATAAGCCAGACACACACTGTTCGACCAAGAAATCTATATCCGCTCTGCTGATTTTAAGTGATAGTTTGCTGATTTTAAGTGATAGTCTGCTGATTTTAAGTGATAATCTGCTTATTTTAAGTGATAGTTTGCTGATTTTAAGTGATAGTCTGCTGATTTTAAGTGATAGTTTGCTGATTTTAAGTGATAGTCTGTTGATATTAAGCGATAGCCTGCTGATTTTAAGTGATAATCTGCTGAATTTTAAGTGATAGTCTGAGTGGAATGTCACGACAGCTCACATATAGGCATCATCTTTTTTGTAATAGTGATAATATAATAATAATATAAGAATAATAATAATAAAAATAATAATAATAACTAGATTTGAACTCGTCACTTAATACGATTCGAAATGGTTAGGCTGATATGATCAATAATGTAAAAACGCAAGCCAAATGTTCGTTGACAGCGATTGTGCGTAACTCGTGGTATTTTTTGAGATATCGTGCGAACAGAAAAGGGGAGAAAGAAAGAAGAATAAGAAAAAAAGAAGAGACAGTACAATAACAAGAGGTGATCCGCTAGAGAAGCAGATCACCAATAATAATAATAATATGATTAAGATTGTTACTGAAATCATCAGCGCCGGTGACAAGCCAGTTTTTTTTTGCTTTAATAGGTACCATAGAAATGTGATATATTATTATTATTATTATTATTAAATGATATTACTGTACAGTATTAGTGTGTGAATAAACTAAATTTTTTCCCTTTTATCTGTTTTTCAGCCCAAAAGAGTTTGTTGACAGTATTGCACATGTTCGCCTTTTATCATGGCTTCTACTAGGGTCATTGACCCACAGTGCAATGTGCCCAGGTTTTCCCTACTCTAATAGCATTACCAGCTTGCCGATCTCATTGGATGCTAGCTCGCACATTGCTGAGCATGTGCAAGTGATTCTTGCATGTTTTGCTGAGCAGTCGAGTACATCCATCCTCCACATGTCCTCGTTGACTCATGCTTTTATTTTGTGCCAGGTAAAGTAGAGCTGTGTTGTTTCATGAAATTATTGTATGTCTATAATATATTAACTTATGTATTATCTTGTTAGTTCCTATGCATGTAATGCAATAGGAACTATTGTAATCACTCTTGCTATTTCCTAT